CAATCCTCCCTCTGTCAACTGTCCCAGCCTGCCTATCGCGCCGGGCACACCGTGCACATCCCCCCCATAGAATGACTGGTTCCTCCCTATATCCCCTTCCGTTCAGCTCTCGACCTTGTTTTCACCCAGGGCGCTCAGAGAAGGCCACAGTCCTTCGTTGTTCCCAAACCGCTCGGGGCTGGGCCCCGGTCAATTGCAGCACCAGGCACCCCCAACTGCCCCGCTTGATGTCCATTCCCAGATCGGTACTTCGGAATCTCAATTTCCCTTTTCAGCCCTGAAGGCTGAGCCGCACAGTTGATAATCGTATGAGGCCTCCYGAACYCGAAAATAGGTCGCGGTGSTGAATACATCAGCGTAGTCATCCCTAACCTGAAATAGACTGGCGTAGTGGTCCCAAAGCTGAAATAAACCGCCATAGTGGCACCAAACCTGGAATAAATGGCCGCAGTGATGGTGCCGAGCATGAGCTAAATACCCGTGATAGCGCCGAACCTGGAATAACCTGCCGTCCAGGTTCCGAACCTGAAATACATCGTCATAGTGGCTCGAGAGCTGAAAGTAAGCCACCGTGGCGGTTCTGTCCCTGAAACAAATTGCCATGATGATGCTGATCCTGAAATAAATAGCCGTGATGATGTCGACCCTGAAAATAAATCACCCTGGTGCCCGAACCTGAAGTACGTCGATACCGGCTCAGGCCGAACCTCAAACATGTCCGGTGCCGAACCTGACATCATGCTGCCGGTCCAATGTAACACGATCCCACGCTGTCCATATCCATGTGGTCATCGTCCGTACCGACGGGCTCAGTAAGGTTAGTAATCAGGTAAATAGGGGATGCGTCATAGAGAGTTTCGATTATCGGGAGATAGCAAAAAAAAAAGTTAGAGCTCAGGGAATTTGATCAAATCTGGGTTCTGAGCTGACGGTGGGTATCCCAAGCAAAACCAGACCAGGCATCGAATAATCATTAACTCTTGTTTGTTCCATCATTTTTAATCGTTTTCCCTTTTCCTTAATTCTAATGTCTGCAATAGTGAATTAGCCGTAGGTTCACCAAAAATGAATTCTGAGGGAGTTTAATCAAATGGTTGAAATTCTCTCTTTTCTTCTCTCCCCTACCATGTTAAACCTTTTTCTCTGGTTTTCTATTTCATTGCCGGAAACATAAAATAATGAGGTATTTTCCTCAAAATTTAAATGCCGCAAAAAATAAGGGAACTAAGGGATATTACGTTTTTCTCTTCCCTCCTACTGTTCCCAATCTTTTCTCCCATCTTTAGTTTAGGTGAAAAAAAGATAAAAATTTGAGGCCTCATTTCGGCCCCGGTCGTATGCCGCAAAAACGTTGCGGCAAAGTCAGTTCCCGCGATGCCTCTCCGCGGCAGGCCAATCCGAGTCTAACTCTCTAAACAGCCGGGAATAACAGTCCCTAGATGCGTCGAGTGTGGCTACTTATCTCGCCATCTTTGAGGATTACTCGTAAGGCTCAGTGCGCCTAGAATCAGGGGCGTCCTGAGTTCCCCTAATTTTTGCTGCCTGGTCATACGAGAGCACCATCAAAAGACGGACTCGTCCCTGAGCCTAAGTCCCAAAACTGCAGATCTCAGGCGGCGCACTGCTTGCGGCCGCCTGACACCGGGTCGACTGAGTTTGATGCTGCGTCAGCAGAGGCCGTTGCAGAGGCCGCTGCAGAGGCCGCTGCAGAGGCCGCTGGAGAGGCCGCAGGAGAGTTCGCAGCGACGTCTGAGGAGGTCGCAGGGGGCTTTGCAGAGGTTGTTGGCGAGGCTGCACAGGTTGGGAGGGCTTCTGCGCAGTTGGGTGTCAGTTTTAGTGGTATTCTTGATGTTTCGTTGGGGCCTCCTCCGACACCGGCAGGCGAGCGTGGCAGTGGTGACGCAGCGGCTACGCCCGTCAGTCAGATACTCCGGGATGTACCTTCATGCAGCATGGGTGACATCAGTAGTAACATGTTGCATGAGGCAGCAACGGGGAGACAGTGTTCGTCAGGGCAGAAGGAGTGTGCAGCAGAGGACGGTGGGGATTGTGGACCTGAGCAGGAGCGAGCGCCAGAGTCGGAGCAGGACAGGATCGACCGCGAGGAGAGGGAGAGGGCGCATGACTTGGCTAACCGTTGTGAGCTGACACAGAGTATTGCGTCGAGGGCACGGGCAGAGCGGATGCGCGAGACGGGCGGTAGTGAGGGTCATCATGCGGCGGACGATGCAGCGCTTGAGTGTGGAGGCGCGGGCGCCGGGGATGCAGGCGAGAGACCCGCGTCGACGGTTCAGGGTGTTTGTATATTGCCTATCGGTGGAGCCATGATGGCGGAGGAGTTGGAGCGACATTTACGAGAGGATCCATTGCAGGCAGATCGGCGCGAACAGATCGATGAGGCGTTGGGGAGGTTCATCGCAAAGCGCCCAGCTTACGTGCCCTGCAGCCCGTCACTGCCATCGTCAACCACTCATGCCACAACCTCCGTACATGCTGAGGTTCCAATCACGGGACGGATTTCATCACCGACACCTGCAGAGTCTCCTTCTCCCAAATCACGGAAGAAGAAGATGAGAGCAGGTAAGAGTATCAGTACTGTGAGGAGGGTGACGCATGTGATGCGGGAGACTCAGCCCGGGCTGGCCGGTTTACATTCGCGGACTCGGGAGGCATTGGCCCTAGACGTTGTCGCGGAGACAGTAGGTTGGCGGGAGAGGGGCTCCAACCGGGCGACGGGGCAGCCCATCACAGCACCTGCTGAGGCGGAGATGCCATGTACTGGGGGGCGAACAGTAGGTAGGGGGGAGGAGACGGAGCACAACGGCCCCCCCGGGAGGACCATGGTCGGACGTATATTGGGGGAGGATGTGAGGACGGTGCCTGCGCAGCGACAGTCACAGGCAGGAGTCGTTTTGGAGTCCGGTACCGATGATTTGGAGATGCCTTGTGGCCAGCGGAGGAGGGCTTCCATGTACGACCTTCTTCGAGCAAAGCACGGGGTTGACACGGCGCCACAGGGGGGGGTTCATGCTCCGGATACTGCGCACGGGCCGATAGTCAGCACAGGTGGCGGCGACGGTGTCAGAAGTGTTGTGCCGCAGCGGAGGAGGAAGGACATTGTGGACGACGATGATGTTTAGTCCCACCATTAGTCCTCTTTCATCCTGTATTTCTTAGTAGTGTATATTATACTTAGTGCTTCGGATGATGTGATGTGTTCATAGGTGTAGTGTTTATTAGATTTGTATTTGTACAGATGGTTAGACTACTGCACAGTTGTCCATATACAGGTGCAGTAGGTGCAGATTGTTGTTTCTTTTTCGTTTTATTTTTGCATCGATGTTTCAGAGGATTGCACTCTATATTCAGACATGGGTGCAGCATCTGCAGCGCTTGCATTGTTTTTGTTTTCCTTCTACTTTGTTATCGATGTTTCAGACGATTGCACATTGTATTCGCACATTATTTGATTGAGTTCAATCTTCATGTTTCATTTATTGTTGTGTATGTATAGTGCAATTGTTTCGTGTTGATGTTATGTTGCCCTGTAATGTTGTACTTTCTAAATTTCAGCAACGATTGTCACTCGCACATGATCTTCAATGAGTCAATGCTTTTGAAAACTGTTTGTAATTGTTATTGTTTGAAGTCCCTGGGCCCTCACACGGTGAACCAATGCATCACACAACACACAGCCCCCCCCTTTCCCCCCCCAAAAGGACCCTCACACGGTGAACCATCGTCCACCACTGGGCCCCCCAAAACGACCCTCCCACGGTGAACCAATGCACCACACAACAACTCCCCCTAACGACCCCCTTCCCTGCCCCAATTTTTTTTTTTTTTTTTTCACGTATTCAACACCTCCACACAGAAACCCCCCCCACACAAAAGCCCCCCCCCCCCCCCCCCCAAAAAAAAAAAAACCCCCCCCCCCCCACCCCCCACGGAAAAAAAAAAAATTTTTTTTTTTTTTTTTTTTTTTTTGCAGACGGACTCCCCACGACACCCGACACCCACCCACCCGAAAACCGCGGTCAACCCCCCCTGGAAGACGCCGAACGTACGTACGGAAGTCCGTGCGTACGGCCCTTACGGGCACCCGGGGTCCCGTACGTACGGTCGTACGGGAGTACATACGGCCCGTATACGTACGGGCGTATACACAGCTAAGCCCGGAGGCAAAGAGCCTGATGTGCGGGCCGTGTTAAAAATGTCACAGAAGAATTTGCCAAATGCGTCCCAGGCGGCACGGAAAAATTATGTTGGCAACCCATCAGGTCCTGGGCACTTGCCTTTAGCCATCTGTTTGGCCGCCGCCGTCACCTCCTCCACAGTGATAGGAACCTCTAGATCGGCACAAAGTCGAGGGGGGACCTGTTTATGATTACAATCCCAGAAGGGATGAAAATCTGCTAGATTTGAGTGAAAATAATTGAAAGGCCGCCTTGTAGAGACAATATCTTGGAAGTAGAGCATTGACAATATCTTGGAAGTAGAGCATTGCATATCTGCATAGGCTTTCTGTGTCTGTTGCCATTGCATTGTTGATGGCAAAGGGGTGGGTAAGCTCCCACATAACAGGCTTCGCTTTCTGCAAAATGAGGGAGCAAAAGGTTTCCTTTGTCATTTTATCATGTCCCAGTATTCCTTTTATTCGAAGTCATTCTTGCCAGTTTGCCTGCTTGCTAATTTCCAACTCTTCCCATTCAGCCAGTATAGCAGACCTTGTTATCGACAAATGGTACTCTAGAAAGGGATCAGCCCCGTCATACGCATCTGTCCGTTCTATTATTTGACGCAGTTGCTTTTCCTTCCAGTTTCTAGCGGCTGCTTTCATTCGTGAAAATTCAATCATTCCCTCCTGCAGGATACCAATCCCAGCATCCACCCAATCCTCATACCTGTCGAACAAGTCCCTGGCTAGCGGTCAGTCCTCCATTTGGGATTTAACCCATTGCGGGATTCCTGGATCCTTTAATAGGTTGACATTCAGTCTGAAAGGAGGTCTGTGCCTTTCCACTACCTCCTGAGGGATAACGTCCATAACAACAGGGTAGTGGTCCGATATGTAGGATATTACCAAATCCACATTCGATATTCGCTCCCAGGGAGACCCCCTGGCCAGGATATAATCTAAGCGCCTTTTGGGTTGAGCGATTCGAGAAGACGGGCTTGGGCCCCTCCAAGTGTAGCCCGGGAATCCGGATTTAATGTTCTATATACATCAACTAAATTATGTGCTTGTGGAGAGTAACAGCACATCTCTTCTGACCGGTAAAACAGCCGGAGAATCAAGTACTGGGTTGAGCACGCTATAATTCCAGTTTCCCATTCGATCCTCGTGGCGTAATCCACTGGTGCGTAAATCAACATGACAGACCAGTCTTCTTATGCAATTACCAGCTTTACGCAAGCCCAACGTCCCTCAGGGTCCGTGCAACTGTCTATCGCGTCAACTTCCAATTTCTTATCCAGTAGGATTGCCACCCCTCCTCTGGGCCCCATGGCTGGAGCCCATATTTGGGGGCCAGGCCACCATCTACGGATATCCTCTATATCCGGACCAATTTTTGTTTCCTGAAGACAGACAATATGGCTATGATGTGACCGCAAACAATTGGAGACTCTTGCTCTCCTATGGGTCTCATTGAGATCACATAGTTCGCAGACATTCCAACTGACTAGTCTGATTTTATTGGGTAGGGACATTATCTGCGGCTGTTCCGCTGGCAGATTGGATGCGGTCCTCATTTGCCCCCTCTGTCATTGACAGACCTGCCTTTACCACCATTCGTTCTCCAATTTCAGAGTTCAAAATTTTCCCAGCCCTCCTTTTCAAGAGGGAGGAGGCAAAAGGCTTGGATGAGATCAGGGAACCATTGTCTGATTGAGCTACCCATTCAGCCACTGCTCGAGCAGACAAGCCTGACAGCAATTTTATCCCCGCCAAAGTGTCTGACTGTGCAGCGGCTAGGTGTGCCAACTCTAGCCAATAGATCCTGAGGTCATTCCATTTAGATTTGTTATCAGTTATGTGAGCTATATCCATAAAAGCAATCAAGAGTCGGGCCATGCCTCCTTCTGGTAAGTCTACCGAATGACGAGCCATTTTTGGTTCCGGTAGAAAGCTCACTTCCCCCAAGTTTTGTAAGGTCTGTATTTTTACTAAATTACAGACCATCACAGGGACAGGGTTGTTGTTTTTCTTTTCTTTTCCTTTTTGTTTTCCTTAGTTTGGTGCGCGAATGTTGTAACAGGGCTGTTTTCCTTTCTTTACTGTACAGGTGTCTGATTTCATTTTATTTTTTCGGCTTTTTTTTCCCTTTTTCCCTTTTTGGATTTCTTAGTAGTCGGACTCGTCCTGCAAAAATATGTTGAGCATCGCGCAGGGAGTGGCAGGGTCTCCAACCCTGGAATGACAACATGTTTTGCAGCGATTGTTTTGAGATTTGAACTGGTCGTAACACGACAGTAGGGATGCAGTCCGTTCGTTGGGACTGGGGTAACAGTAGGTAGGTACTGCTGTGGACTGGTCTGGGGAGGAACCGGGCTGGTCCGCATACTTTCTGGGGCCTATTCTTAGGATCTGCAGCCATTTCCATAATCATGTTTCTCAGAAATTCTGTATATGGGACGCTGGACCCGCGTTCCAGCAGGTGATGCTCCCCACCAATAGATGGAGCCTCCCCTTAGGTGCTAGTGGTGACGGCTCGTATCAGCAGCACTCGCACTGACAGGGGTGGTGTTGTTTAAGGAAAAAAAAAAAAAAAAGGATCTGCAGCCATTTTAAGTTTTTAACTTGATAGTTTATTATGCGCCGTGTCCGGTATGGATTTGATCATTTTACTGGTCGCTTCCCACCCCATGCCCTTTCCCTGGCGGAAATCCTGTCCTGAAGTGCCCAATTCACCTACACGTACTCATGAAGCTCTTCCCTTTTTTCTTTTTCCGGTGGTAAGAGAACCGTCAGGATTGAGGATTTATCTATTGGGCTGCTCCATCTATTGGTGGGGAGCGGCACCTGCTGGAAACCGGGTCCAGCATCCCATTGATACAACTTATAACACAGAGACCGTTGTTTGATGTTTCCTGTGGCTATGGGCTTTTCTCTTCTAAGACCCGGGTCTCCATTATCCCATACATGAAGCTCTTCCCTATATCCCTGCAGGGAGGACTCCACTAGCATGCACAATCATCTTCTTCCTGGTTATGATCATTATCTGCTGTTCAGTTAAACCCCCAGCTCTCTGGGGTAGTCAATGCTGCCAGTGGGATCAGACTCATCAGAGTTATTGAGCTGTTATTCTGACATAAGTCGGCATTCTGTTTTTTTCTTTTTTTCCATATATCATGGGACACTGTACCCGGTTTCCAGCAGGTGCTGCTCCCCACCAATAGAATTGTGAGGATTGAGCCCTCAAAGGGGCCTTGCCGTGATGTACATGTTCTGCGCTAAGGCCCCCAGCAAGCCTCGTGCCCGCCCTAAGTGAAGGCGGGCCAGCAAATCATCGAGAGCCCTTTGTTCAAACATTTCACGAAGTGGGGTCCATACAGTTGCCGCACGCCAGTTGGTTGGAGTGCACCGAGTATCGGAACTCTCCAAATGCAGAAATCCCAGGGGCCCAGAATTGGTTAGTCCCTGGGCACATAAACGTGAGGCCAACAATGCATGCTGGATATAGAGGCCGAAAATGCCAATGGGAAACCGGCCCACTATCTGAATCTGGTCGCAGGCCTTGATGAAAGAGGCGCAACTGCATCTCCTGGGCCCCAACCGCATTGGGCCTGGGTACRGGTACTGGGGCCCAGGCGCAGGCTCAAGGGAGGCCGCCCACACTCAACACTGGCATATAGGCAGGGAGGGCGAGTGGGCAGGGATCTTGGCCAATGCAGGYATTGCGGGCACGCTGCTGCATTGTAGCRCTARCACTTGCGCTGCGCAGTGGCTGAGAGAAGCAGGCTAGCGCTAAGCGGTAGAGCGCARYCTGGGCGCAGGGCRCTGGCGGCCATAGCCRGGCTGCCTGTGGGCGCAGAGGAGGTGAAGGGCGAAGGTGGTTCTTCGGAGGTGAAGGGCGCTGTGTGGGATAACAAGGGAGAGTGAGGGTGAAGAGAGAGAGACGTACCTGGTGGAGAGGAAGTCGGCATTGGTGTTGACGACATCGCTCGCTGGTCGTCAAGTTGTCTGGTTGCTTCAGCTAAATGTCACATCAGCATGCTCTCATCACCAATCATACATTCCGGAGTAACCACGGCATCTCATGCCGTATAGCCTTCCGGCGCACACCTCTCTACCCAGGTCGTGCGCCTAATATGGCCTGACGTCACAAGAACCAACTGCGAAGAAGCATCGTCAACACACCAAGTCTGTATAACGCCAGCGCACCAAGGTAAGTGGTGAATCGAACCAGCTCCGATACCAAAATGCAAGGAACATGAATGTG